AGGTATTTTATGGAAACATATTTCAGCTCAATCTAGGAAAAACAATTGCCTATAATTACAACCATTTTCTAAAAGTGAGGAACTAATAGGCTCTCAACTTCTATTAGTAGTTATAGACAGAAGACTACTCGTCATGTTGTTGACTAAGGAATTCTTACATTGAGTAGAACATTTAATTCATTAGTGGCTTTGGAGGCAGTTTGGGACAGGTCTTTTGATCTCAAAAGTTAAAAAAAAAAAAAAAAAGGGGGATTACTTACTGAAATGTACTGAGACCAAACTCATGAAGGCTGGATTTCTGTTAAAATTCCCTTTTCCCATCCTTCAGCCACGTGTGAGATATTAAATTATTATCAAGCTTTCCTTGAGATTGTCAGATAATGGAGAAACAAGTATGCTCAAATAAACACTTGAAATCACTAGACTGCCCACTCATACTAAGAGGTAAGGAAAAGGAGGAAAAAAGAATTTCCTTTTCTTTCGGGCTAGATAACTAGAGGAATGTAGATGTTGGAAGGTAAGAATACTTTCCAAGGACTGAAACACTATACTTAAAACTTTGGCTTTCACTTGTGGTTCCATGGATGTGACTGATACCAAGTGTTCCCTGGTAACTAATCTCCTCTTTCCTGTAGTCACAATTTCCCTTCCCTTGTCCAGTCTTGTTACCAGTGACTGGAGATTGGTAATGCTGCTTTTTGGCCCATTGCCACCTAATCCTACTCTTCAGTGAATGCACTGGGCATGTGGTAGGAAAGGAACTTGCCAGGCATTTTCCTAAGCTAGCTTTTCATTGTCACTATGATGGTCACTTTTGGTCAATCAGCTCACATGGGAACAGGCAAAAATCATGTTCAGAGAACACAAGAAATAAAGCCATTTTATAGACCTGTAAACTTCCAGAACAGTTAATCTTCTTTTAGCCTTCCAAATACTTTGGTTTCTCTTCAGATAGTCCAAATCTTTTGCCTTTTAACCTTCTACAGTTTATAAAGCAACACTTAAACTTCTTTACTCTTTGTAATGGAACAAAATTGAAGAGGAGTGAATAAACTTTGAATATACATACGTGAAACAGTGCTGTCTTTCATGGAGTGCTTTTTAATTTCCAGAGTGCCATAGGTCTTTTTAGAGAAGATATACTGCTAAAAATTGTACAGAAAAGCTTTGCAATTCAACAGTATAGGAGCACCACAACTGTTCTAACACCAAAAGACTGCCTTTCCCCAGGGAACCATAGAGAAGTTTCTCAAAAGCCCCTTTTGGGAATAGGCATGCAGAATTTGGCAAGTGCAAGTGTGGACTTTCTTACATTTCACACACTAACCAGAGTGTGGCTGCTAATAAGAATGAAACATATTGAAAAAATGGGCTAACAGTGGTTAATTTAGGAAAAAAACAAATAGTGTTCTTTAAAAATTTAACTCCACAAAATTAGCCAGAATACAAACATCATAAAACATGCATGCCTATTTGATGGCACTCAGTCATTCCAGGAAAACATCAGGTTTTAAGTTTTCATGTCAGTTCTAGGAATCTAAGAAACCTTTTATATTCGGAAAGGAAATTTCAATAGTGCAGGCGAAAGGACCAGAAAAGAAGGAAAAAAGGAAGAAAGAGAGAAAAAAGCCAGCCCTGCAAAACATCTTGCTTCCCCACTTTCAACAGGATACCAACCAAGGGACTCAGTTACTAGGCTGTTATTCCATAGAAGCTCACTCTTAAGATTAAACATAAAACATTCTAATAAAACTAATAAAAGACAAATGACAGACAAAGAAATAAGAACACATTAAAACTTTTTGACTCTCATATTGAGAAGGTGTAATGATCTTAGATAAAAAGAATAAATATGTAATTGCAGGCACTCATACCTGGGTGAGTGGACTTTAAGATTTTTATTTGTTGAGATGTGTCATTTTCAAGAAGTAGAATTTAGAGATAAGTATGAAGCAAACAGATTTACCATCTTTTGCAAAACTAAATTTCTTGGTGACAAGGTTGAGACTGGAATGTGAATCTCTTTGAAATTCCACATCCTTTGCCTGTATTTTTTTTTAACAGATTACTGTGTACCTTTCCAGCTTTAACTCTCATGGCTCTGCCTGATACTTTGTTTTGTATATACTGATCTGTCTTTATACTTTTAAAAATTCTAAATTTGGTAACCTTTTTATTTTGGATTTTTTTTGTATTTGTAAAAGTTACAGGTAGGATAGCCCCTTACACTCCATATCTGATTTCCTCTATTAATGTATTACTATGGTACATTTGTTACAATTAATAAGCCAATACTTCAGTGTCAGCTAAAGCTCATACTTCATTTGGGTTTCATTTCTATGTAATATCCCTTTCCTGTTTCAGAATACTATGCAGAACATTTAGACATGTCTCCTGAGGTTCCTTGTGACTGACAGTTTCTCAGATTCTGGTTCTGAAGGCTTTTCCAATTTTGGAGTACTGATCAGGTATTCAGAAGGATGTATGTTCCCTAAGAGGGATTTGTCTGTTTTTCTCTCATGAGATTACTCTCATGGGATTACTTAAGAAAAAAAAGACCAAAGCTGAAGTACCATTTTCACTACATTCTATCAACATATACAATAAACATGGTATCACCTTTGATGTTGGCCTTGATCAACATGCTAAGGTAGTGTTTCTGACGTTTCTCCATTGTAATTACTTTTCTTTCCCTATCTATATGTATATTATGGGAGAAGTCATTATGTTAAGTAGCTCACATTCATGGAGTGAGGCTGTGCTCCATGTCCTTGAAGGGTGAGTACTTATATAATTTGGAATTCCACATGGAAAATTTGTCTCTTCTTCTCTATTGAGTCACTATTTATAGCAGTATGGCTTCATGGATATTAGTTTTATACTTTAGATTATAATCCAATATTATTTTACTTTGTTGCTCAATTGTTCCAGTTTTGATCATGGGAACTACTAGTATCTTTTTTGTTTCCCTGGAATGCTCCTTTGCCTCTTATAGCTCAATTATTGCTTGCTTTTCAAATTCAGCTGAGATGTTATCTCCTGCAGGGAAAAAATTTTTTTTTGAAAACTACCTCCAATACTAGCCCTTCACTTCTCATTACTGTAAGTTGTTTTCTCAATGTACACCTAAAGCTTGTGTCTGCCATGGTACTTACCATACCCTGTGTACCTACCTGCTTTTCCCACTGAACAAGTTTTCTTGGGAACAGAGGGATATTTTATGCCGACCCCTAGTATGTAAGACACAGTCCTCACACAGAGGTAGCTCAACCAGTATTTCTAAAATTCAACCATCCAGAAGCCACTTACAAGTTGATAGCTTACTGCTGTGGGAGGAACTGCAATGTGCTACTTTTACAAGAATGAATACAAGCTGGGTGCGTGGTTCATGCCTATAATCCTAGGTACTCAGCAGGCAGAGATCAGGAGGATTGCAGTTTGAAGCCAGCCTGGGCAAATACTTCCAAGACACTATCTCGAAAAATCTTTCACAAAAATAGGACTGGTGGAGTGACTCAAGGTGAAGGCCCTGAGTTCAAGCCCCAGTACAGAGGAAACAAAAAAAAAAAAGAATTAATGCAAGCCATGTAACATAACAGGCTCAGGATAAACTGTTATATTTGCATAATTACATTAAGGGTAATGACCAATTACCCTCATATTTAGAACCAGGGCTAGAGAGCTTCTAGTTTTGCTTAGCTTAGAGAAGCAGTACCCCCCAAATAGCTAATGAACACTGTAGCCATGAAATTATTAAGTGACTTATTGCTAACTGGAGATCAAATAATCTCTGAAGAAATAAACTTGCTGAGTTACATTTCTTGTTGCAACTTATTATAAGACAATGACTTCAAACATTAACCAAAAACCTTCCAAGATATAGGAATTAAGAGTGTGGTAAACTATTAGCTGAAAAAGGCTTTTAGACTACCTTTAGTCTAAACCTCCACTGACTCCTGACTTATTACCCCTTCCTATCTACACTCTAGACCTATCATCTATTCACTGGACATCATAACAAAATTCAAAATCTCAATCAGGCCCTACAAGGCCCAACCTATTGGGCCACTTAACTTCTTCAAACTTACCCATTCTTCTCTCTTCCTTGCCAAAGAGTCCAGTAACACTAATCTTTCTAAAGTTGTAGCTCAGTCTCATTTTTTGATGCTTAGTAGCTTAATTATTACAAGAACTTTATAAAGCACTTTCTTTCTCTATGAGAAACCCCTACAAATTCACTGAAATAAGATTAAATTAAAACATCTCTTAACAACTTATGTTACTCTTGAGTAACAAGTATTTTTGATGTTGAAATGCCCATTATCAGTAATCACTGTTTAAATTCTGTATGTTTGGGGGGCAAAGATCAGGAGGTCTGCCTGGGAAAAAGTTAGCAAGATTCCATCTCAACTTACAAGCATGATGCCCAGTTACTGCAATCTGAACCATGCAGAAGATAGGAAAGATTCTATCTGAAAAATAACTAAAAGCAGAAAAGTCTAGGGTCATGGTAAAGCACCTTCCTAGCAAGCACGAGGTCTTTAGTTTAGCCCAGTACCACAAAACAAAACAACAAAAACAAAATAATCTGCTTCCATTAAATACATTCAAAGAGGCATTCTCTCTTTGCTTTTATTTTGATGATTTTTAGGACATACATTCCTAAGTGAAGTTCCTTAAGAGGAGAATCTACATTTGTGTGTATGTAAAACACACACACACACACACACACACACACACACACACACACACACACACACACTCTTGTTTTTTTTCAGTATTGGAGTTGAACTCAGAGCCTCACCCTTGCTAGGCAGGCGCTCTACTACTTGAGCCACTCCACCAGCCCCTAACTTTTTGTTTTGTTTTTGCCAGTACTGGGGTTTGAAATTAGGGCCTCACATTTGCTAGGCAGACACGCTACCATTTGAGCCACTCTGCCAGCCCTCCTAACTTTTTTATATTAAAAAATTTTTAAGTTCCAAACTACATTTGGCTGTAAGAGTTCTAGATTTTAATAATTTTAACTTGAGGGATACACTGGGATATTCTGATTTATCCCCATCATGTATAGCTTTAGTCAACCAATAACCCTCTTCAAGTGTTTTATTTTTTATAAAATGATGGAAGATAATTTTGCTTACATCTTTTGCTAAAAAGTGTCCAGATTTTTAAAGTAGCTTTTAATGTCATTTTTACTTGACCTGAAATTCTAACTTCTTTCCATTTACAAACTGCAATCAGTTTATAAAATTAACTAAGCAATCTAAGAGATTACATGGCTTTTAAACCTAGGTCATAGAGTTTGGAACCCTTTTCCACTAAGTCAGGGGCTGGCAAAATGTGAAACTCCACTTGTGTTCTTGTCATATCCATTTCTTCACACTTTGTCTGTGGCTACTCACCTGATTACTGGCAGAACTGAGCAGCTGTAACAGAGACCCATGGCCTGCAGAGCCTGAAAGTTTGCTTGCTGACCCTTGTTCTAAGTCTCTGATTACTTCTGGTTGGTACTGATAGCTATGACTGAAGGCTATGATTTTTATGAAAGCAAGCTGATTTGGTACACATTTAGGACTTATAGTATGTTTGTATGATCCTTAAAAGGCAAAGAGAAAACTACCGTTTTTAAAGACTGACATTCCCTTTCTGTTTGAATGTGGCCTCAATAAGTCAAAATTTCAGGTCAATGGCCAGATCCAGAGGGACTGAAGAGTATGGCATAGCTGATGAATACAAATCTGGTCAGAGAATGAAGGAATTCATAATATAATCTTTTCTACTAGCTGATGAATACAAATCTGGTCAGAGAATGAAGGAATTCATAATATAATCTTTTCTACTGTAAACAACACTGAGCTCACTGGAAGGTTCACTTCATACTTTGTTTACACTGATAGGCATAATTCCAAAGAGACTTTAAAATTATTCACTGGTACATTTTGCTTAGTTCATGTGTGTTACTTATTGAAGAGTATATCTTCCAACATTTGACAAAAACTTTTCCTGATTAGCTGTGGCTCAATAAACTTTTATTTTTTTGTTATTTATTTTTATTCAAAAGAATTTGTTTTCCTATCACAAAAATTAGATAACCACACCACCAACAGCAGCAAAGTCCGTGGAGTTACATTGATGGTGTAGAGTTCACTTGGTATTCCCAATGTCCCAAAGGTCATAAAAGGAGGAAAAAAAGGAAAAAGGTACTCAAGAGAAATCCAAAACCCATGACAACTTTGGGGAGAGTCTTCACATGACATTTCTGTTTTCTTCTCTCATTGTCAGCTGCAGATGTATTTCAGCAGGATCAAGCACAATTTGACTTCAGTACACCCTTCACACCAATTCTAGCACCTAATTGTGGGGAGAAAAAACAGGATGAGTTTTAAAATATAAAAAAGAGTTTAATGAATGCTTGCTACATTTATCAATGGCAAACCAAGCAAATTTGAAGGCAATGGGTATTAATCCTTTCTTTCAATCCAACCACTGCATGAACTGTTTCAGATTAGTTATCACTACTGTTAATTAGGGAGCTTCAAGGTAAATTACATGAAACCTACAGACAAATGCATAGCATAGGCATAATATTTTTGGAATACTGCTGATACTACATTCTTAAGAAAATTTAAAATATTATTGCTAATGACTTAAGTCTATTTATTTTTTCTATTGGTAAAACACTGGTTTGAGCAAATACCTTCTAAACACTAGTGATCAAGATATATAGGACCTAAGATGTTGCCTTTTCCTACTGCTTCTTTCATTTTCACTGTCAATCATCTGGTGTCATGATAGTTTGTTAGTGTTACTAAATTAGTGTTAAAGTAGTATCTTGTCATAAAAGTAAGTTGTGATACCACTAAAACTAAAGAAAATGAGAAAGCAAATGATTAAGAAACACATGAGAACAATTATGAGATACTGTCGAAAAGGATTACATTACAGAGACTGCAATTCTAAGCAGCAAAAATTTAAAGATGCAATCTTTCCCTTCTTGCTCTGTTCTGGCTTCACTTATACCTGTGCTTCCATAACACCTTGTGTCTTTGTATTTAAGCAAGTAGGCTACTTAACACAGAGATCAATACTGCTGAACAAAATCTTAGATTTGTCAATGAGATTCTATGAGTACTAATATATAGCTTTGAGTTCCTATAGGGATGTTAGTAATTTCAATTGCTCCAAAGATCAAATTTGTTGAAGAATAAGTTGTACTTTTTTCAATTTATGCTTTGCCATGAGAATAAGCTAAAGAAAGATTGAGACACTAGTTATTTAAATCGAGATTCTAAGACCATCTACCATCTCACTTAAGGCTTGTAGAACACAGTAAGTGATGATCAGTGTAAAATTCCAGTTTTTCAATTTTTTTGTGACAGTCTTACTATATAGACTAGACAGGCTTCAAACTAGCAATCCTTCTGCCCCAGTCTCCCAAATGCTGAGATTATAGGTGTATACCACCATGTTCAACTCAAAAGCCTAATTTTCATTTAAACTCTCGTGATTCCTCTTTAGAAGAGGCTTTCTAAATAGATCATCTAGCTGCCTAAAAAAAAGGGAGATTACCATAGGAATTAGTTTGACCAGCTAACAGTGTAGTTGTTCTGCTTTGAGTTTGCCCATTTGGCTTGGATTTGCTCCCTTGATGGCTGGTGCATTCTCCACTTATGATGAGTTGAAGGAAGCCATGGCAAAATTAATGCCTACTGGCATGATAAGACAAATTACAAAAAAAAAAAATTACTCCTGGCATTTCAGTGAGAATATATAGAAAGAACAGGTACTCTCAAAATATATGCTAGTCAAATCAATGTACTAAAAATCTCCACCAAATCAGGGTCCTGTTCAGACAAAGTTTCACTGCTTAACTCAGGATTTATTTAACTAATGCATTATACTCAAAGGCTAAACATCCAACGGTATAATTGAATAAAATTTTTATTTTCTTGAGCTCCTAAACCACAAAGAAAAGTTTTAAAAACTATGCATGTGTTTGTGACTGAGACTGTGCCAAGTGACATTTAGTTTTCAGATCACAGTAATGGCACGATCACATGATCAATCAATTTTCAATTGAACAGTAAAATGCCTTCCTTGTTCTGACTCCCGCCTTACAAACTAAAGAAAAACCTACTTGTCAGGGAAGAGAAGGAACAGAAACATGAAAAATAGCAAAATGAGAGTAAGATATTTAAACTGTATAGGCAATTCCCACTGTATATTAGATCCTGTTTATTAAATGTCCCGGGGGTTTGTAGTACTGGTGTAAGAGAAGGTAAACAGTAGTTGGCCTACAGTGTATGCTCAATAATTTTCATATGTTTTTCAATCTGACAATCCATCAATCCATTCAGAATCCACACAACCTCAACAAGTACTATCATCTTCTCCATAGTTGCAAGTGACCTACTTCTTTCCCTTTCAGTCAAGCCATGTCCAAGGAGACAGAGACCCAGTTTGGAATACTATCTAAGGCTCAGTATAGTCGTATATTTCCATGATCCTGTTATAGTCTAAAAAGGGATCGGAGTTTATAATATGTATGTATAAAACAGCTTACCTTAATTGTACCCTGACTGTTAGCAGCAATCAGCACATTGGACTCCTGGAAAAGAATGAGAGCCTTTAAAGTATAGAGAAGGATTTCCCGGCGGGTGGGCCAAGAGAATAATTTCCTCTTTATCCTTCCTTCTTCACTTTACCCTAAGACATCAATAGAATCTAAAATGGAGAGCCAACTTTTAGCATGCTTTTAACTATGACTTTTAAACAAAACCATCATATTTTAAGGATTAAGTTTTCATATAAAAAAAAGTTAAGAGTAGAACACTTCTGAACATAAAATAAAAGGGAAAAGGACTGCCAATGGAAGGAAAGCCAAGAGAAACAAAGACTATAATAAAATACAAGAATAACTTGAGAAAAACAAAGTGAGCAACTTCTTCATTCACTTTCTGCTACAAAATACCAGTAATTGATGTAAATGCTGCCAATATCTTTGGCACAAATCTCTATGAGTAGATATTTATAATCTGGAGAACAAAAAAATGGCAATATACATTTTAGAGAAGGCTGTGTTTTAAATAAAAAATTATTCTATCACTCAGCATATGCATTATTAGTGACATTGGTAATTACTTGAATAAGAATTTTATGTCATGAAGTATTATTTATATTCTAAGTCTTAATGGAGAAAACCCCAATTTTTCTGGAAAGCAGGAATGGTAGGAAAAGGAATGGACAAGAATGAACTCATCAGAATGAACCACAGAAAGTAGGATGAGTTGGGACATTCCTCCTATTGGAAACATGGCATCTAAAAGGGATCAGAAACTTGGCAGTGTATTGAAATCTTTGGTCTCCAAGATAGACAACTAAAAGGTAGATAGACTCAAGCCTACCACAGAAGCCATAAGGTTGATGAAAAGATCAAATCTAAGAAACAGATTCAGTGGTCAAACTTCAATGAAGGACAGAATCTGTCTGAATATTCTTCAGCCTTTGTGATGAAGTGATGGAGAGAAGAAAGAAAACTTTTGGCATGTATGCTGGGGAAGCAACTTTGGCCAAGTTTAGTTATAAACTTGATATTCCTAGGTATAAGCAATTTGTGTTTTACAAACTTACATATGTTTACTTTTAATTTTTCCTTTTGAGTTTTAGTAAAGCTACTTCTGAAAACTGCTCATCTTGATACTACTACCACATAAGGAAAGAAATAATTTCTTCTACCATCCCAGAACTTTTAGTAGAATTAAAATACTCTTACATGTACTCAGTAGCAGTAGCATGAAAGGTCATAATTGTATGAAGAATGAACAGATACATGGGTATTAGCATTGCTGATTTTTTTTTGCTTTTTCCTTAAATGAATACACAGTCTTGAAAATATATGGGTAATATGTAATTCATTATGAGAGAGTATGAGTATTACTTAAGTATCCTCTGTGGGGAATTATGGGCTATTTCTAGGACTTACTGTACATAAATCAAAGCTTTCATGTGGAGAGAAGGTGTGAAATAGGGAACTAGGAAAATAAATGTGGGGTTTGCCTACTCTTTTTGTGATCTGAATTTAGAAAATGGTTGGAATAGGTATGGAGTCTCCTTAGGAAAAATAACTCATGCTGAGTTAGTCAGAGGGTACAATTTCTATGCCTGTCTCAGAAAACAGCAAAAAAAGAGGCACTGTATTGGTACAATATAGATTCTAGCAAAAACTTTAAAGCAAAAGCTGTATGACATCAGAACTGCCTCTAGTGGACCCAGAAATGATGGTTCTATAAATGATACTGAGAAGTAAAGCTGAAACTAGCACTGATCCATTGAATCAGTGAGAAAGACTCCAGTTTCAAGAAAGTTACTGCTAGGAGCTGCCACCACTAGATGCTGAAGCCATAAAGAATTGTTCCTTCTGCTATGGGAACATAAAATATCAGGACAATGAAAAATTTATAGCCCAAAGCTCCATCTCTTTCTACCATTTTGGTTCTAGTCACTTTTTAGTATAAAATGCAAGGCAGAGAAACCTGGTGAAGATGAGAGGACTCATTTGGGGGCAGTAGGGAATCCATTTCTGCCAGATACAGGCATTATAAATTACACAATTCAAATATCTGATTTCTGGTAGAAGGAAAACTTGGAGAAGTATGATATGTAGACTAAATATTCTTATGTGAAACTCCTGGGACTAGAAATGCTTTGGATTTTGGCATATTTGAATATACTATACATAATGAGATTTATTGGGGATGGCACCCAAGACAAAACATCATATTTGCTTATGTTTCTTATGTATCTTATACACATAGCCTGAAGGTAATTTTATACAGTATTTTTAGTAAACCTGCATTTTGACTGCAAGCCTGTCAGGTGTGAAATTGTCCATTTATGGTATCATCTCACTATACAAAAAGTTTCAGAGTTTGAAAAGGTTTGGGGATGTGGCTCAAATGACAGAGTACCTACTCTTTCAGGTGACAGATATTATGTGTTAGTTAGAGTACAAGACCCCAACAGTACCGCAAAAAAGGAACAATGAAGTTTCAGAGTTTGGATTTTTAGATGCTCAACTTGTATTATCTTACAGTATATAAAAGTTTAGGCTCAATATAAATAAGATAATTTAGCTAGCTAACTAGACAAAAGAGGTTTCAAGTCTGTACCACATTATGTATAAGAAAGAGGACACCGTCTTTTTGGAATCACAGGCCTAGTACAATGACATTCATATGATGTCATATTTGCTATCAAGAGGGTTCCTTCTTAACAACTCTTGTCTGTGGAGACAGATAAATACCCCATTTATTAAAAATCCAACATAGAAATTGTCCAGTTCAAATGGTCTTTTAGGACTGACATATAAATGACACAGTGTTCTAGGAATTCTTACAAAATCTTGAAGTTATTCAAAGTAACAAACAAAAAGAAAAAAGCAATAGCTAAGTACACCTCCTCTCTGCCAAAGACTATATAATTACAAAAAGTGATTTAGGACTAAGCTGTCAGATTGGCAGATATTGGCTTAAGAAAAATTAATTTCTACATGCAATAGAAAAATAAAGGTCTGGCAGTGATACATACAAGGTTATTACTTAAAACTTTTGAATAGGTTTTGTTTGCATTTTGGATGATTGGCATTTGCTAGCTGTAGCTTTAGTACAATGTACTTACACCAATACAAATCTGAATCTACTGAAAGTTTTTTCTTTAATAGTGTGCTTAAAAAAGGTATTATAGCCAAAACATTAAAATCCCAAGCAAGTTGAACAATAAAAATTATCTGCTTAATTTGCAAATAGACATAACTGATTTAAAATGCAAGTACATTTTACTACAGGTATAAATATATACATTTTAAATATAAAATATATGAATAAAAACAGCTTTCATTTCTGACCACGGAAGAGTAAATAAAGCAGATTTGTTGTCCTACTATAAATAACTAGAAAACTGAACAGAATATATATGGCTACACTGGAGCACAGACAGTACAGGACTCTAATCCCTGAGAAGGGAAATAAATGAAATGAGTCTTTAATACAATCACCCTGGTTTTCTGCTGGGAGGCAATTTCTGTACCACAAAGTAGGGAAGGGGAACCCAAATACAGCACAGAGGATTCTAAGCAGAATTAGAGGGCTCACTAACTTGAGGGGTATTTGGAATCTGTAAGGCAAAACACCAGAAGAGGAAGCTACAAAGCAGTGCTCTAGCTTTGCATACATTTGATCCTGTGTCTGAATTATAACTCTACATTCATAGATTGAAACTATACACTGCTGGGAGAGTAACAATGATTAAAGAAAGCACAACTATTGAGAATCTATAAAATTATCAAATCCCGGAGCTGACAAAGGGCCAGGAGATGTTCAAGTCAGGAGGTCTCAGTGAGCATTCAGGCCCCGAACAGAGTTCTCAAAGGGGGTATACTTTATTTAATAAGACTAAACTACACTTAAAGTAAATGTTTCTCTACACTGATATCAGTAAACTATGGCCTTTAAGGTTTACTGGAACACAGTCATGATCATTTGTTTAAATATTATCTACGGCTACCCTTGCACTTATGGTGGCATAGTCAACAAGCTGTAAGAGCCTGCATACCCTACAGAGCCTGAAGTATTTGCTATTTGGTCCCTCAGAGCAAGTTTCCTGTTACTTTGGATTCACCCTAATGATGCTTAAAAACAAGGGTCAAAAGAATCAATTTTATCTGCAAAGAAATTAACTTTCTGTCAAAACAAACTTCAATACTCTAAACGAATACAACAATATCTAGATACTGAGCAATGAAGCACACAAGAGGCAAAACCATCAACTATAACAAGGGGAGAAAAATAATGACTAAAAGAATGGAAACATCAAACAAGAACGTTTAAAGTAGATACTATAATTATGTTTAACTATTTAATGGGAACACTGACTTTAATGGGAAAAGCAATGTAAGACACAATTATAAGAACCAAAAGACAGTCTCCACCTGAAAAGTACAGTATTTGAAACAAAAAATTCTTTGGATGGCCCTAACAAGAGGGACAAGATGAGAAAATGGAGAGTAACACACCAAAGATTTGATATTGTTTTTTACCTCTGAAGTGTAGTTAAAAAAAGGATTAAGGGGACAGGGGGAGGAAACAGATTAGCGTTTAGTGACTTACAAATACAGAAGGAGCAAAAATGGTGTATGAAGACAGGAGGCAAAAATTTTCTAACTTTTCAAACTATAAAACCACAAATCTAAAAAGCTTAACAATTTCCAAGCAGAAATTACCACATCAAGGCAAATTATTACATTGCTTAAAAATGAGTAACAGTCAAAATCTTGAAAACAGCCAGAGGAAAAAGAGTGTATTATATTTAGAGGAACAATAAACAACTTACCATCACAGGCAATGCTAGTCAAAAGACAACAGGACAGTATCTTTAAGTTGTTAAAAGAAGAAAGCTGATAATCTAGAAATATTACCCAAAACTAAAGACAATTTTTTATAAGCAAATGTATTTAAAAAGCACAAAAGATACAAAAGCAAAACAGGTATACTGTTGCACAGTTCTTCTATAATACATAAAGTAGTATAATATAATAAATCCTCTTTGGATTTC